CCAAGAGCCACCTTGATTCCCAGTCCCAGACACTCGCCCTAAACCGTCTAATGACCTCGACAGTAACATAATGTTTAAGTTCAATGATGGGATGTTGTGGCGCGTGAAGTGATGTTTATCCTTCACCCCGAGATGTTTGGGGCTCCTGTCGGGTAAATAAATTGATCCACGCCACTCTCTCGCTCGGTTATTTCCAGTCTGAAGTTCGACAGCTTGTGTATTGAGGTGTTTCAGTGATCTATATGATGTATTTACTGAGAGAAACAGAGAGAGAGACAGAGACAGAGAAAGAGACAGAGACAGAGACAGAGAAACAGACTAACCTCTCTCAAGCTCTCCAGACAAACTGGTGCGAACAAGTTAAGGGAAGTAATCGTGGTAAAAATGGTTTCCAACACGCACTAGACGGTCTGGAAATCCCCTCTTCCCAATACAAAGGGAGGTAGTGGGAATACAAGAGTATACTGGGAAGCCAGGGGGGGAACTGGGAGGCTAGGTGGTACTGGGAACCCAGGTGGTATGGGGGGGGGCAGGTGGTACTGTAGGTCCAGGTGGTGGAAGTGGTATTACAAGGGGCGCTGGGCCTATATAAAGGAGGGGAGAGCGTAATGAAGTAAGGCTGGCAGAGGGAACCTGTTATTCCCAAGTGTCGAAGTTTGGAGAGAGAGAGAGAGAGAGAGAGAGAGAGAGAGAGAGAGAGAGAGAGAGAGAGAGAGAGAGAACATGACTGTTTAGGTTATCTTGAGATGATTTCGGGGCTTTTAGTGTCCCCGCGGCCCGGTCCTCTACCAGGCCTCCACCCCCAGGAAGAAGCACGTGACAGCTGACTAACACCTAGGTACCTATTTTACTGCTAGGTAACAGGGGCGTAGGGTGAAAGAAACTCTGCCTATTGTTTCTCGCCGGCGCCTGGGATCGAACCCAGGACCACAGGATAACAAGTACAACGTGCTATCCGCTCGGCCGACTGGCTCCTTGTTTATGAAACATAAAAGATACAGACAAGGAACAGAGAACGGAGGAGGAAGAACAGCAGGCGATAATAAAACAGGGAAGAGGAAGACTCGAGTGAGGGGGACAAGACAAGCAACACTGAAAATTTATTTCACACTATGAAAAAAAAAGAGATTTTCACACATACAGTTGTGTGAAAATATTCAGTTTCCGAGATGAAACTTCTGACTTGCTGACACACGCCACAAACACAAGTGACGGGGAGCATCACTCCACGGGGAGAGCAATTACCCGGCGGGACAGTTAATGCCGTGAGCCATCTGTCTTTAACACAGGAGAGAAGACTGCATTTAACAGGAATAAGAAGGAATGGGTAAAGGAAGGGGAAAGAATGAGGAAAAAGAAGATTAAAAGGAACGCAGAGGGAGAATATCAGTAGGAAGAAAAGGTAGAGGAGGGATTTGCTGAAGTCTTAAGAAAGGCTTCTTGGTAGGGATAGGGAGAGAGGTCTTTCATGTGAGGTGAAGAGGAACAGAGGGAGGGTTTGCATGGGAGAAAAGGGGTCGGTGGTACCTGCAGATCGCTCCAAGCAACAGCCTGGTGGACCAAACTCTCACAAGTCAAGTCTGGCCTCGGGCCGAGCTTGGGGAGTAGAAGATCTCCCAGAACCCGGGAGCCGGTCGGCCGAGCGGACAGCACGCTAGGCTTGTGATCCTGTGGTCCCGGGTTCGATCCCGTTCGCCGGCGAGAAACAATGGGCAGAGTTTCTTTCACCCAATGCCCCTGTTACCTAGCAGTAAAATAGGTACCTGGGTGTTAGTCAGCTGTCACGGGCTGCTTCCTGGGGGTGGAGGCCTGGTCGGGGACCGGGCCGCAGGGACACTAAAAGCCCCGAAATCATCTCAAGATAACCTCAAGATAACCCCATCAACCAGGTAACCAGGTATCAACCAAGTAGTAAGACGGTGGGTCCAGAGACGGAAGGAAGAAGGAGTAAGACGGTGGGTTCAGAGACGGAAGGAAGGAGTAAGACGGTGGGTCCAGAGACGGAAGGAAGAAGGAGTAAGACGGTGGGTTCAGAGACGGAAGGAAGGAGTAAGACGGTGGGTCCAGAGACGGAAGGAAGAAGGAGTAAGACGGTGGGTCCAGAGACGGAAGGAAGAAGGAGTAAGACGGTGGGTTCAGAGACGGAAGGAAGGAGTAAGACGGTGGGTCCAGAGACGGAAGGAAGAAGGAGTAAGACGGTGGGTCCAGAGACGGAAGGAAGAAGGAGACGTAGAGGAAAAGAAGATGTACAAGGAAGTGCATGAACGTAGGCCAGACTGAGCAGGATCCTGACATATATTTTAAGAAGACTTACAGAATATACAAAAAATCCCTCCCCGCCTACACCAAGATAATCTTCCGAGAGTAGTAGTTACCGTCAAGGGCCAGCCTGCGTGTGGCCAGGATAGAATAACAGAACGCCCTCAGGGGACGGAGGGTGAGGGAGGAACACGAGAGAGAGAGAGAGAGAGAGAGAGAGAGAGAGAGAGAGAGAGAGAGAGAGAGAGAGAGAGAGAGAGAGAGAGAGAGAGAGAGAGAGAGAGAGAGACTAAATGCGGTAGAATGGGAGCGACGGATATCGAATGGGAATGGATAGGACGATAGGAAGAGATAGGAGGATGGAAAGAGATGAGGAGAAAGGGAAGATAGGAAAGGAGGAAGGATTGGGAGTAAGAGAGGGAGCAGGATGGTAGAGAGGGAAGTAAGGACGACGGGATTTATTTTATGCGAGTCTGAAGCGCACCAATTTCGGCGGTTATGCAAATTCCGCAGGATTTATCCATTTCTATAATTTATATTTTTGTGCGGCGATGGTGCTCGAACCCTGCTGCCATATGGGTCGGGTAGACACAAGGAGCCAAACTGTGTTTACACCATGTTTCTTAACTGATAATGAGTACTTGTTGACGACTTCGTGAGTTCTTCTACTGTGAGGCTATCTTTCTTAATAACCTGTAGGGTGACACAGCCAAGGAGACACAGTTGGGAGACACAGCCAGGGAAGAAACAGTAGGGTGACACAGCCAGGGAAGAAACAGTAGGGTGACACAGCCTGAGACACAGTAGGGAGACACAGCCAGGGAAGAAACAGTAGGGTGACACAGCCAGAGACACAGTAGGGAGACACAGCCAGGGAAGAAACAGTAGGGTGACACAGCCAGAGACACAGTAGAGAGAGACAGTCATCGAAGAGTCATTAATAAATCTTACGTCCTTTCAGGAGTTCATGTTAATTTCCATTTGTGTGTATTGTGAAATAATAATGTATCATATACTGAGTAATACGACAGTCTATGTTCGTTCATGTGTGGCGTCCCTGCACCAACCTTTGCGTTGACACATTGTGTAACCGCTTGGATGGTAGTTTACGATCACGCCACATGCCCTTTAGGGCGTGGGGGAGGTGGGGTCGAACTAGTTGGTGTCAGGAAGGACCGAGCCGGTCTAGGCACTCAGCTCAGGGCGCTCGGCTGGAGAAACACCTGTCTTAGTAAATTGTGCCAATTCACAATTCAATAAGTGCAGTTCAATAAGATTTATAGTGTATTTTATTTTTTATTTTTATTTTTTGTCTTCTATATTACGTGTACAAAGACCGTGGCATTGCAAATGTTAAAGTAACTTTTATCTTGTTTTATTAAATTAACTTTTGTTTTAACTTTAGCTTTTTGACTTTACTCCTGTTTCCCGATATTCGCATAGAAGTTTTAATGCGTTTTTACATATATATATTTTTTTATGTTTCTTGATGCAAACCATCAGCTGGATATAGCCGCCTTACTTAACGTAACAGTAACTCCAGCAGATAACCCGCCCAATTCTCTTAAAAGTTTCCACTGTTGTTCCAGCTGACATTTTATATATCTGTTGACAGGATATTGCATAGTCGTGAGCCTCTAATGTTTACATTCTAATTGGATTTATTTTGCACTTCCTACTGTATATCTCACTCCAGTATATTATAATTTTATTGTGCAGGTCTGAACATGAACATTCACGGTTGTTCAATTCCTTCTTGACGTTATCTTGAGATAATTTCGGGGCTTAGTTTCCCTGCGGCCCGGTCCTCGACCAATCATCCATCCCCAGGAAGCAGCCCGTGACAGCTGACTAACTGCCAGGTACCTATTTACTGCTAGGTAACAGGGGCTTCAGGGTGAAAGAAACTCTGCCCATTGTTTCTTGCCGGCACCCGGGATTGAACCCGGGACCACAGGATCATACGTACAGTGTTCTGTTCGCTCAGCCACCGGCTCACCTTCCCAGCAAGCATTAGAAATATTGCTGAAAAGTGGATGTATTCAAAAGGCAATTAGATAAGTTCTTGCAACAAGTGCCAGACCAACCAGGTTGTAGTGGATATGTGAACTTGCGGGCCGCTCCAAGCAACAGCCTGTTGGACCAAGCTATCACAAGTCGAGCCTGGCCGCCCAAGCCGGGCTCGGGGAGTAGAAGAACTCCCGAAACCCTCCCCAGGTACGCTCCTGGGGCCAGATTCACGAAAGCAGTTACGCAAGCACTTACGAAGATGTACATATTTTCTCAATCTTTGGCGGCTTTGTTTCCAATTATTAAACTGTTAATGAGCTCCGAAGCACCAGGCGGCTGTTTATATCAATAACAACATTTGAATGGGAAAGTTTTCATGCTTGTAAACTGTTTAATATATGTAACCAAAGCCGTCAAAGATTGAGGAAAGATGTACACGTCCGTAAGTGCTTGCGTAACTGCTTCGTGAATCTGGCCCCAGACCACACACTAGAAATTGAAGGGACGACGACGTTTCGGTCCGTCCTGGACCATTCTCAAGTCGATCACACAATCGACTTGAGAATGGTCCAGGACGGACCGAAACGTCGTCGTCCCTTCAATTTCTAGTGTGTGGTCTGGTCAACATACTTCAGCCACGTTATTGTGACTCATCGCCTGCATCTGGCCCCAGGTATACCCCACACCAGTCTCTCCCCAGAGCTGGATGCCCAGTCTCTCCCCAGAGCTGGATGCCCAGTCTCTCCCCAGAGCTGGATGCCCAGTCTCTCCCCAGAGCTGGATGCCCAGTCTCTCCCCAGAGCTGGATGCCCAGTCTCTCCCCAGAGCTGGATGCCCAGTCTCTCCCCAGAGCTGGATGCCCAGTCTCTCCCCAGAGCTGGATGCCCAGTCTCTCCCCAGAGCTGGATGCCCAGTCTCTCCCCAGAGCTGGATGCCCAGTCTCTCCCCAGAGCTGGATGCCCAGTCTCTCCCCAGAGCTGGATGCCCAGTCTCTCCCCAGAGCTGGATGCCCAGTCTCTCCCCAGAGCTGGATGCCCAGTCTCTCCCCAGAGCTGGATGCCCAGTCTCTCCCCAGAGCTGGATGCCCAGTCTCTCCCCAGAGCTGGATGCCCAGTCTCTCCCCAGAGCTGGATGCCCAGTCTCTCCCCAGAGCTGGATGCCCAGTCTCTCCCCAGAGCTGGATGCCCAGTCTCTCCCCAGAGCTGGATGCCCAGTCTCTCCCCAGAGCTGGATGCCCAGTCTCTCCCCAGAGCTGGATGCCCAGTCTCTCCCCAGAGCTGGATGCCCAGTCTCTCCCCAGAGCTGGATGCCCAGTCTCTCCCCAGAGCTGGATGCCCAGTCTCTCCCCAGAGCTGGATGCCCAGTCTCTCCCCAGAGCTGGATGCCCAGTCTCTCCCCAGAGCTGGATGCCCAGTCTCTCCCCAGAGCTGGATGCCCAGTCTCTCCCCAGAGCTGGATGCCCAGTCTCTCCCCAGAGCTGGATGCCCAGTCTCTCCCCAGAGCTGGATGCCCAGTCTCTCCCCAGAGCTGGATGCCCAGTCTCTCCCCAGAGCTGGATGCCCAGTCTCTCCCCAGAGCTGGATGCCCAGTCTCTCCCCAGAGCTGGATGCCCAGTCTCTCCCCAGAGCTGGATGCCCAGTCTCTCCCCAGAGCTGGATGCCCAGTCTCTCCCCAGAGCTGGATGCCCAGTCTCTCCCCAGAGCTGGATGCCCAGTCTCTCCCCAGAGCTGGATGCCCAGTCTCTCCCCAGAGCTGGATGCCCAGTCTCTCCCCAGAGCTGGATGCCTGAGACACCACGAGCCGCTGTAACACTTGCCGTTGACAGAGATTCGGGTTTCAAGCGCAATATAACAATTGGCGGTAAAAACAGTAAACCCCTCGAGGACAGCTGTGAGCAGGCAGAGACAAGCCCGAGGCAGGCTACTAGGAGGTTATCTTGAGTTAATTTCGGGGCTTTAGTGTCTCCGCGGCCCGGTCCTGGACCAGGCCTCCACCCCCAGGAAGCAGCCCGTGACAGCTGACTAACTCAGAGGTACCTATTTAATGCTAGGTAACAGGGGCATAGAGTGAAATAAACTCTGCCCATCGTTTCTCGCCGGCGCCCGGGATCGAACCCGGGACCACAGGATCACGTGTCCAGCGTGCTGTCCACTCGGCCGGCAAGCCCCTATAGGCAAGGGGCCGATCTCAGAACGCAACAATCTCTCCAAGCACATCACAATAAGCTAAGGATTGCAGGTGCTCAACAATACAATCATTAATGACTTCGAAGTACTACTTCTTGTAGCATTTTGGCCTGAGGGCTGGAGGGCAAGGGCATGAGAGGCGGAGGTAAGGGCATCAGGGCTGTAAGTAAGGGCTGGAAGATAAATAAAATATCTTAAAATAAGCTTCGACCTCTCGCGCTTGGGGGCCACGGTTCGAGTCTCCGATAACCCAGGTGAATGGAATGAAAGAGCTGGCAATACTAACTGTTTGCAACGTTATACCACATGTTAATAGGGGATACAGTTCTAGATACCTCCGCTGGGGGGGACAACCAGAAATACCGCCATGGACAAATTACCACCTCGAACATTGAAACCAAAAAGCAAAAATAGAATCACAGGTGGACACATTCCGTCGATAGAAAATAGAGCGTTGTGGCAATCGAGGAGCGCGGCGTCACGGTCTTACGAAGTCCAAGAATGACGAGGCTTCGACGCGAAGCGGCCAGCGGGAGTCGATAACCTCCTGGAAGTAGACAACCTCTAGGAGGCTATCTAGAGCTAGAACTCTATAGAGAACTCCATAGAGTTCTCTGATTATCTATCTATCTGAATTATTATCTGAATATATTATTTATCTGAATTCTATCAGAGAATTCTCTGATTCTCTGATAGAGATAGAACACCGGCAGCACAGGAGCACTCTTAAAATATCAACACACACACACACACACACACACACACACACACACACACACACACACACACACACACACACACACACACACACACACACACACACACAACCTTCAACATACGCAGACAGTCGAGGCTTAAGCATCACACTGTTAATTACCCCTTGACCTGACGGGGGAAGCCATTTCAGTGACAGGAGGAAATATGGGTTTGGGAAATTGCATCAAATGATTAGTTCTCGCTGTAACCTTTGACCTCAAGAGGCTCAATGACCTCCGCTAAGGAGCCCATCGGCCGGACTAGAGAAAGTCATCTGATCCTCCATCACAGGATTAAAGATAGGATCCTCCCTCCCCCCCCCCCCTCCGAGGAGGACATGTTCCAAGGGAATGCATTGGAAAATACGAATTTGCATGGGTCATTGACCTTATTCATATGGCGGACTGCGAGCAGCGGCAACTAACAGCCTGGATGACCAGACCATAAACTTCGAGATCTAGTCAAGAGACCGGGCCGCGGGGACATCGATCCTCGTAACCACCTCAAGGTAATGTTCAGTATATATATATATATATATATATATATATATATATATATATATATATATATATATATATATATATATATATATATGTATATATATATATATATATACATACAGAGAATTTGTATAGTGGCAAAAAATCTACTTTAAAGTATTTTAGCAATAAATTATTCATCATTTTTTTCCTCATTATTATTGACATTACTCACGCATCATTATTTTCATTATTGGGCTGAGAATGAGTTAGAGACAACGCCGGAGCTACAGAGTATAACTACCACGGGATTTATTAGTTAAATATATCACTGTAATTGTCATATCATTATAAGCTGATGTACCAGAACCAATATAAATGTCAAGCCTTGCGAGGAATCAACCCGTTCTCGCAAATTTAATAAATCAATATTGACTTATTAGTTGCGTGCATAGGTAACATACTAAACATAAGTTTCCCTTGAAAATCTTCATAGAAAACACCGACCTTACCTAACCTACTTAGTATGTTAAAATAAGCATCTTATAGCTTCGTAATTACAATTGTTACTTAACCTATTATAGGTATAGGTTAGGTAATAATTGTAATTACGAAGCAATAAGATGCTTATCTTAACATACTAAGTAGGTTAGGTAAGGTCGGTGTTTTCTATGAAGCTTTTCAAGGGAAACTATTATGTTAAGTATGTCACCTATGCACATATTTAATAAGTCAATATTGACTTATTAAATTTGCGAGAACGGGTTGCAGGAATAGATCAGTGATGAGAGAGGGGAAAGAACAACAAATAAATTATCGTCAAAAACCAATATGTGGTCGTTTGTGAAATTATATTAAAGCCTCAGTAACGTGATCAATTTCAAAGAATTCTGTAATTCTTTGTCTCCGTCTGTCTGCGTGTCTTTACGTTTGTTATACAATACTCCTCCTCCCTACTATGCTGTACCCCCACCCCCCTCCCCAACTAGTCATTCACCCCCCCAACCATCACAGCTCTCTGGGTCCAAACAAAGCCCTTGTGCCCTATTGCTTCCCAGATCACAGCAGTGGGAAGCGAGGCACAGAGGCAGCGAGGAAGGAATCCTACCCTTAGGGGACAGAGAAATTGCTGTAGCCAAGATAAAGCGGGGTCACTCTACCTAAGGGCCTTTTCCCCTCTATTTCCCTACCGCAATAGGTGTCCTAATGAGCCTCTGTTGCACAGGAGCAGGTGGGAATTCCTTGCACGCTTGGGCTCTCAAGAGCTACCGTGATAAAAGGCTCTCAAGAGCCTTTATTTCAGGGGACACGCAATAAAGCTCTGGATGCCCCGCGCTGCACTACCCGCCTCAACGGTAATCAGTTTTGATCCGCAACTCATTACTGTCTGAGATCAATAAAATTTTACAAGAATTATAGTGCAAGATGGTTCTTCATTTTTCCTCCTTAAGTAGAAAACTGGGAGATTGCGAATGGAGAGAGAGAGAGAGAGAGAGAGAGAGAGAGAGAGAGAGAGAGAGAGAGAGAGAGAGAGAGAGAGAGAGAGAGAGAGAGAGAGAGAGAGAGAGAGAGAAGGGGGGGTCACAACCCCACCACAATCCTCCAATCGTCCCCTCGTCCCTCGTTCCGTTTCCCCTCAGCGCTCAAACAGTGTGATAGATGACCAAATAATCTAATTCAAGGCCGACCACGATCGTCCTGACACCGCTGTCAACACTCTATTGAGAGACAGGAATTTGTGTGATGCTTAGTGTTGAGCATCGTGCCGGAGCCCCGCTGAGGAAGGTGGAAGAAGCAGTGAGGAGAGAGAAGGAAGGAAGAGAGAAAAAAACAGAGGAAGGAGGACAGAAAGAGGTGGAAGGAGCAGTAAGGAGAAGAGATGGAAAGAAGATAGGGAAAATAACAGATGAAGTGGATAGATGAGAGGGAAAGGGAGATGGAATGAAGTACGGGGGTTTCAGAAAGAGGAAAGAAGCTAGGAATGTAACTTGGAGTGGAAGGGAGATGATACAATCATATGGAAGGGAAGAGTTCCCATTCACCTGGGCTGTAGGTGACTCGAACCGCTGACCCCACGTATATAAGGCCGAAGCTCATACTCTTTTAGAAGAAATAGTTTTGGTGCCGGAGTGGATAGGAACGAAAGAGTGCCATAGAGAGGCAGGAGAGCAGGCAAGAGGGCCACAAGCAAAGTGGAAAACAAACACAAATACTCTTCTAGAGAAGAGAAAATCCTAACCTGCACATTTGAGGAAAGAGAATACAATACTTGAATACATTACGAAAATACAATAAACGAGTAGAGAAAGATTAGATCTATGAACACAGAACTAGTGACTTTTCAATGTGCCTTCCAAGTGACCAGGAATAATCAACACATCCATATATGCATATAAGAGGACACTGGATACTATCTACAGGTTGTGGTGACTACATTGGACTGCGAGCTGCAACCCGCCAATATAATTTGGAGGTTGTCAACCAGGATAAATAGTTAGAGGCAGTGGACCAAAGAATCACAAAAAAGCGCGCGCGCGCACGAGAGAGAGAGAGAGAGAGAGAGAGAGAGAGAGAGAGAGAGAGAGAGAGAGAGAGAGAGAGAGAGAGAGAGAGAGAGAGAGAGAGAGAGAGAGAGAGAGAGAGAGAGGAGAGAGAGAGCGAGAGGAGAGAGAGAGAGAGAGAGAGAGAGAGAGAGAGAGAGAGAGAAACAGAGGCAGAGACAGACAAAATAAACTCCTGAATTAAAATTCAATATATACACAGAGCTTTAACCAAGAACGCCATTATGAAACCATAAATAAAACTGAACCCCTTAAATCCATGATGAAAACGCGGAGAATGCATTCGGCAAAACGCAAACAGAACCCATCAAATAAGACCCAAATAGAACCCCTTACCATAACACGCAAAAAAGAACGCAAAGAAGCGAAATGCAAAGTGCACACGTAAATATATTTGGCAGAGCAAAACCAAATAATACTGCGCTAGCCAGACAATTGAAGACTGTGTGCAGAGCAGCGAGCCTTTGCAGTACACATTTGTTTGGTAGCGAAGCAAAGATCGCTTTGGCCTGGCAATGCAGCAAAGACCTTACGTTAATCTTCTACACTGATTCCTGTCCTTTCTTACACTGGTTCCTGTCTATTACACCCTTGTTCCTGTCTATTAGACCCTGATTCGTGTCTATTAGACCCTGGTTCCTGTTTATTAGACTCTGGTTCCTGTCTATTACACCCTGGTTTCTGTCTATTACACCCTTGTTCCTGTCTATTAGACCCTGATTCGTGTCTATTAGACTCTGGTTCCTGTCTATTAGACCCTGTTTCCTGTCTATTACACCCTTGTTCCTGTCTATTACTCCCTTGTTCCTGTCTATTACACCCTTGTTCCTGTCTATTACACCCTGGTTTCTGTCTATTACACCCTTGTTCCTGTCTATTAGACCCTGGTTCCTGTCTATTACACCCTTATTCCTGTCTATTACTCCCTGGTTCCTGTCTATTACACTCTTGTTCCTGT